TTTCTCTCTCTCTCTCTCTCTCTCTCTCTCTCTCTCTCTGTCTCACTATCTTTAGTTCACCTTCTGTTTCCTACAGCAGAATGTCTGTGGTCGGTGTTCTTCCTTTGTCCTTTTCCTTTCCCACCTGTGTCATATGACCCTCAAAATGAGCTGTTTTATGTTACGTAGGACGGAAATTTTAGGAAACGATGAGACAATTCAGCAAGCCAGATAAGCTAGGATAAGGTGATACTTTATTGTCCCCGTGAACAATAAATGAAATAGACATGGGAGGAAAATTTATTTGGAGGGGGTGGGGGGGTGTTAAAGAAGTCGACCGTGTGGGAGGGGCACAAGAATGGATGGGACACAGAGACAGACAGGCAGACAAAAAAGAAGGCAGGGGCAGAGAGACAGACGGAGACAGACGCACACGATGAGATATGGGATAGAGAAAGATATAGACAGACGGACCTTTGATAAAGCAGAGAGAGAAAGGGGGTGGGGGGACTGAGTCTTGTCGCCTTGTAAGTCTAAACAATGGCAAAAGATATTTCATCTTTCATCCGTGTTTGTCCTGTTGTTTATTGTCAACTGAGAATGAGTTTCTGTCAGCCTTTGATACCTTTGAAAGCGAAGCCGACGAAGTCTTTGGAAGCTGGCAGATTAAACCCTGAGCCTTGAGCCATCAGGGAGAATGGAAGCTTGTGTGTACAGTTTAGTGTTATTAGACCTAGGATATTTTTGGATGGGTTTAAATCTTTGATATTGATAGATCTCTTTGGAGACCAAGACAAGCAAGCAAGGGAACTGGATTTATGTGCGTCCGTATTTTTGTGTGTGTGTGTGTGTGTGTGTGTGTGTGTGTGTGTGTGTGTATGTTTATGTGTTTTGAAGGTATGATTTAACAGATGGTGGAAGGTGCCTCTGGAAGGACCTACTTTTTCTGTCTCTCTCTCCCTCGCTATCATTTCTGTCTGAAACCTGTCTTGCCTTTTCCAAGTTTTTATTAACCCGGTTTCCATTGTTGATGTGGTTCTCTTTGCTCAAATATGTTGTTAAACACACACACACACACACACACACATACATACACACGCATACTCACAAACACACACACACACACATACAACCCCATACACATACCCCCACGTTCCCTCGAATATGTATAAATGATATACTCAAACTTGTATGTTACTGCACCTAACGTATGAAAGGATACCCACTGGTCAAAGACCCCATCCGCATAATGATATTAGGAACCGGTTGGGTCTTATTGGGAAATGGGCCACACCAGGGTATACTACACCATTCACACATCTGATTCTTCTTAGTTTAATCAAATTTACCCCCCACCCCCCACCCCCAGCCCATTTTTATGTTCTTTCGGTGGGTGGTTAGCGGGTGCTCTAGTGTGGTTTGCTTTTTCTTTCCTACCGAACATCTGTCGTCCTTATCTGTCCTTTCCTTGATGACCGAAACTGAGGCATCAGTGCCACAAAACTCTTAATCGATCGATCATTCTTTTCATTGTATACTTTTAGCCTCTTATCTGCGGCATTTACATCATGACCTGTTTGCGTTTTTAGTGCCGCAAAACTCATGCTAAATCTGATGCTAACAGCGTTGTGCGTTAGTTGTTACACATCTTGTCTTGGCCACTTACATGACTGGCTTATTTGTGCTCTTAATATCGTAAGATTTAAGCTGTTGGTGGTTGGCGAGTGCTCTGGTGTGGTCTGCTCCTTCTTTCCTATCAAACATCTGTTGTCCTTATCACTCCTCCTAATTCTTTGTTATGTTTGTTACTCTCTTGTGACACCTCTAATCTTCAGCACTTAGGCCTATAATTATGACCTTATTGTCTTGCAAGTGCCGTAAAACTCTTACTAAAACTAAAACTAATTAAAACTCTTACTAAAACTAAGAAATCTGATTCTAGCAGCTTTATGTGTTGTAACACCTCTTATCTTCACCATTTATAACATGCCTTTTTATGTTGTTAGTGCCATAAAAATCTAACTAAATCTGATGTTAACAGCTTTGTGTGAATGTGGTGCTGTGTTGTTTGTTCCAGGGCAAGGACCTGATGATGGAGCTGGACCACGTGAGTCTCCGCCTGGTGGACCCCGTGGACGGCGTGACCCTCAACTCTCAGCCCATCCACTCCATACGGGTCTGGGGGGTCGGACGGGATAACGGCAGGTACGGCTGGTGTGTGTGTGTGTGTGTGTGTGTGTCTGTGTGTGTTTCTGTGTGTGTGTGTGGCTGTGTCTTTGTGTGCATGTGAGATCCTCAACTCTCAGCCCATCCACTCCATACGGGTCTGGGGGGTACAGATCTCTCTGTCTCTCTCTATATATCTCTCTCTCTCTCTCTCTCTCTCTCTCTCTCTCTCTCTCTCTCTCTCTTTATCTCTCTCTCTCTCTCTCTCTCTCTATCTCTGTCTCTCTTTTTCTCTCTGTCTCTTTTTCTCTGTGTGTGTCTCTCTCTCTCCTTCCTCTCTCTCTCTCTGTCTCTCTCT